CGAATATACCGAACCTTATTTCCAGAGCAACCAAGAAGTTATAACCGAATCTGATACTATAAGCACATCATTAGATGCATCAATTCAGCAGATACAAGAAACTTTAGAAAGCTGGACTAATAGAGGTTCGGGTTGGGGTGTGGATAAAATAGATAGTTTATATTTAGATATAGCAAATTATATGCCTTTCAAAGGTGGATCTTATATAGATTTACCCTCGTATTATAAAAAGAAAAAGCCATAATTAATGTAAAAAATAAAGGCGATGACTGTATTGGAATGATGATAAGATCTGCCATGTTCCCCGCAGACAAACATCCGGATAGACCTTCGAGCTACCCCCAAAACGACATATTCCCAGAATCAATTCATTTCTGATAAAAAAAATAAATGGTAAATATCATTATACGTGGATAAAGAGTTTAAACAGGCTATTATACGATCAAACAAAAGAAAAGAAATATTTCTGCGAAAGATGCCTGCATGGGTACAGCAGACAGGATCTATTAGAAGCAGATAAAGAAGACTGCAGAGGTGTTGGACAGACTGCTATCAGGATCGATATGCTTAAAGAGGGAAAATATACATTAAAATTTGAACATTATTGTAATCAAATGCCAGTACCGTACATAATTTACGCTGACTTCGAAGCACTTATCAAACGATTGGAAATACCGAAGACAATACTGAATGTAGTTCAGTAGTACTCAAGAACATGTTCCTTGTGGGTTGGGATATATAGTTGTAAGGTATGATGGGAAAACAAACCCGCCCGTGATTTACAGAGGTCCCGATGCAGCGGAAAAGTTCCTAGAATATCTACAAAACGAAGAGAGAATAAACAGGGAAAATTTATCGCGTAAGAAACCCATGTGTATGACGAAGGATGATTGGAGGGCCTATAAGAAGTCAACGATTTGTCATGTTTGTAATAAACCCCTGAATGGGGATTCCGTAAGAGATCATTGTCACGTCACGGGTAATTATCGGGGAGCCGCACATAACGAGTGTAACTTGAAACTAAAAACGAATTCTCAAACAATACCCATCCCCGTTGTGTTTCATAACTTTAGAAGCTATGATTCTCATCTCATCATTCAAGCTATCTCAAAGACCAACGGTGGTTTAATGTGCATTCCCAATTATATAGAAAAATACATATCATTCTCGTTGACTAAAACTATACATTATACGGACAAGGATGGGAAAGCTAGAATAAAGCAAAGTAATGGGCTTAGATTCATAGACTCCATACAGTTTAAGTTATCTTCCCTGGACAATTTAGCTAATGCAAACAATCCCTATGACTTTGCAATAACAAATCAATATACTGATCGGTTAACATGGCATGTGTTGCTAAGAAAAGATGTATATCCTTACGAATATATGGATGATTGGTCTAGATTTGACAAAACTAAATTACCACCCCTTGAATCATTCTATAGTAACTTAACAGAATCTAAAATAACCGATGCGGATTATGAACACGCTCTGACGGTGTGGGATAAATTAGGTTGTAAAAATTTAGGTGATTATCACAATCTGTACTAAAAAACGATGTACTGTTACTCGCCGATATATACGAGATATTTAGAAAGACATGTTTAAAACAATACGGCTTGGACCCGGCATGGTACTATTCCAGTCCCGGACTATGGGATGCATTGTTGAAGAAGACCGGTGTAACTAAAATTACTCACCGATTACGATATGCACTTGTTTGTTGAGAAAGGATTAAGAGGTGGTATATCGATGACAGCTAAAAGGTATTCTAAGGCTAATAATAAATTAGTTGAATGATATGATCCGAGTAAACCCGATACGCACATATTATATCTCGACGCCAACAATTTGTACGGATGGGCTATGAGTCAACCTTTACCCACGGGTGGTTTTGAGTGGGTCAATGCGAATGATATCCCTACAGATTCTGATGCGCATAAAGGGTACATACTAGAAGTTGACTTGGAATATCCAAAAGAGTTGCACAAAGACCATAACAGTTATTCGCTAGCTCCCGAAAGATTAATGGTGAATAAAGATTGGATGTTTTATTACAACGAACTTAAGAAGCAATACAGCGATAGGTGCGAGGTGTTATATACCGACACAGATTCTTTGTTGATGGAAATACAAACCGAGGATGTGTATAAAGATATGGCAGCAAAAAAATAGATATGTACGACACGAGCGATTACCCAAAAGATAATTCACTGCACAGCGTAGTAAATAAAAAGGTAAGATGAAGGATGAATGTGCTGGGACCCCTATTGCGGAGTATGTCGGATTAAGACCTAAGATGTATTCTATAAAGAAGTCTGATAATGGGGAGATAAGAAAAGCTAAGGGTGTTAAGAAGTATGTGGTAAAAAAGCATATCAAACATGAACAGAATAAAGAAGCATTATTCAATAGTAGAACGTTCAAACACGAGATGAACACTTTAAGAAGTGTCAATCACAGGATATATGGATTAAGAATGAACAAGACATCATTATCCCCCTTAGATACAAAGAGATGGATTGATAAAGATGGTGTAACTACCTATGCTTATGGATATGGTGGTAATACTGTAGCGTTGGGAACTATGAGCAACTCTTCTCGTACAAATGTACGCCTGGTCCATCTTTAAGATAATAAAGAATAGGCTGTCCTTCTTTCATTAACTAACCAACTAATGTGATATATCTTAAGGGACCAAATCGGATCAGTTGCACGAAGTTGGCCTCCTTCGAGTTCACTGGGCTGGTATAAATATCTAACGCTTACTCTATCCGGAAGTTTTTGTTCTTTGCCTCTCCTCGGGGCTGAAGATTCGGAAGTCACAGATTTCATTTTAATCGCATCGGATGGTTTCTTCCTGATTAATCTTGTTACTTCATTATTCAGCGCTGATACAACAGCTGATAATCGTGTCACCCATTCGGTTGATCTTAATCGATCCGATTTCATTTCAATCCCATGCTGATATCCAAACAAACGTTCCGCTAATGTCTGGTTACCGTATTTTCTTGAGTATAGTGTGCATTCATGTATAATGCGCACCCCCTCTAGCGGATTCAGTATTTTGGATAAAAAAAATTTGATTGTCAAGCGCAGAAAAAAATTACACCGTAGATCGAACCCTTCAGCGAATTCCGGTGATGCGAAACTAGGTCAGTACAAATTCTAAATTTGAGATAAAAACTCACCAGACATGTTTATTTACCGTTTAAATTGTATTTTTTGTTCTGCTAGGCATTGTTTTACATCCAGGGATTAAGATTACCTTGTGTATTTTCTCGTAAACTAAGCCGGAAACAGCAATCAGCTGTACACACGTTTTCTTGGAATCTACCGGTGATTCGGTCAAGACACACCCAATGATATAACTTTACTTTACAGGATTTTAATGCAAGGATCGGCAAAAATTGTATCTGAAAAAATTATTTTATCAGGAATAATATATCCCAATATCTTGTTAATTTAGTTGTAGCTTTTACTAAACATATTTTAAATAATAATAACCCTAAGCAAAGCAGCTGATCGCTATTGCCGGTTATTATTTTTCACAGGGAACCAGTCTGACCAGTCACCATCAAGCTCACACGCACGTGATCGCACGTGAGAACTACGTGTTGACATAGAATCGTCAAACTATAACAAATATGACTTTAACGAGACAAAGTATGGCATTTATGATATATGTATCTCGTTACTTCATTATTCAGCGCTGATACAACAGCTGATAATCGTGTCACCCATTCGGTTGATCTCTGTCAACTAATGTTCATTTCAAGGCGTCAATAGTGGTAATTTGACCATGGTTGCTGTTAATAACGGTGAGTTGTGCGATCTTCCGATCGCTTCACACACGATTTCGCTGAAATTTATTAAAACAATATTAAAAGGAATTTTGAATAAAATTAATGAAATAAGTTACATACATAAGTCCAGATATACAAAGAACACTTTTTTATAGCCAGACAGTGTAATTACATGATTAATTTGCGGACTTCAGTATGGATTTGTTGACATGGTATTTCCGGTGTTACATGCTCACGGTAATATCTTTCCATGGGGAAAAAAACATCAAAACTCATTATTTCGTGTATAATGTGCACCCCCTTCTACACAGCTGTGTTTTTTTTTTAAAAGTGCGCACTATACCCAAGAAAATACAGTAAATCTTTTGACGATAGCTTGACTATGGTGGGCCTCTTTTTCACCACGTCTGATTGCGACATCGTGCTTTGTTAATAGTTTAGTTATAGATCCCATAAACTCGCGACCAGGAACTACTTGATATAGCTTAGGCCATTTTAGTGGTCCACGTTTATATTTGCGACTCAGTGCATTAGCTACCTCTGTTGAATCTTTTGAGGTTAATGGCTCAGCCTCTTTGTACCGACTAGCCACATCCACTATGGTTAAAACGTATTTATACGTTTTGCGTCTTACCTTATCATGGGGAAGAAACAAGAGGTAAGCCTGATTGTAAAAATATCAAACTTCTTCCTCGGTATATAAACCGGTGCCGGTAAGTATATTTGCCACATCGCTTGTTTCTTTAACCAATCCTTGGCCACATCTTTAGATACCTTAGCCGCAGTGGCTAATTTTGTTGTTGCTCCTGTACCTTTCCAATATCCTCGTGGGCTATAGTAAATTTTATCCATTATTAATTAATATTGATGATTCTTTTAATACGAATCATGATGATCATTGAATCACATCATCTTTTTTGCATAAAAAATTCCCTCTGCAGTAGCAGTATAGGTATATGAATCTGGCTCCAGTGGAAGTGGTCCAGAACCATCATTACTTATACTACTGTCAAGGTACATACACAGACACATCACCTCAAAGACTACAGTGAATAACATGCTGGGTTGCATCTCTCAATATATGTGAGCCGGTACATACAGAACAGTGAGCAGCTATCTGTCTACATGTGTATATGGTAGTGTGCATGTGGTTATACCAGTGAGGACATGCATTGTGTGCAGCAAGTGGCCCACCTTTGAGAGATCATCCACGAGGAGCACCTGACACCTCTCACACTGCAGCAAGGACTGGGTGTGCATCATGATCTTGTGGATCAGGTTAGCAACATTACTCTGTTCTTCAAATATCACACGGGCTAGGTCCAGTAGCACCTGCAATCACAGACAATTGTACCTGTACTACCTATAATCTAGCATGAGTATTGCTTCATTGGAAGGCAGACATTCAGCATACTGGCAACTCAGTGGACACAACACTAAGCGATGAAAGGATCCAGGTATAGATAACAATATACTGGATGGGTGATATATATGGCAATATCTACAATACAGGTGCTGAAGTCACCAGAATTACAAAAGCAAAACTGATTGTTAACTGTAAGGAAAACAGTGTAGTAGGCCGCAGGGTGCCCCTTCGCATTACCTGGTTCCTTCTGTTTTCAAGCTGAGACCTTTCATAAAGTTGAGCATTTTTCACACCAATACCACAGAATGCAAGATAGGAGGCAAAGACCTGCAACAAAGAGTGTAAAAAAATTGTAATGTGGCAGTGTGTGTATTTTGTAACTTTGTTTCTGATGACAATAAGTGGCAAATTGAGTGAAGCTCCCATAAATGATATCTCATCAACTTCCTGCATTGGAAGTGTAAGTTAGAGTGACTCTCTTAGTTGTTGTTGTTTTTGTTACTTCTCGATACAAGTATCAATCACAATCACTCACGAAGTACAAATATTGGTTTTTACCTTAAATTTGCATTAATAACCGTTACACAAAACACAAATTAGTTTGAAAATTTGCGGTGAAAAAGTAAATATTTTCATCCATTGTGCCATACATGACACTGCCAACTGTAAATCATCAGTATGCCTGGTTTGTTTGCCATTTTGTCTTTGAAAAAGATGGCTTACGCACTACAGGTAAGAGCACATGCAAGCACTGTGATACGTAACGGATCATGATAAGGTACCGGGATATGTATTGGATCGCACAGTTGGTGTATTGTCCCACACCTAATGAATACTGTTACATGAATTTGAGTACATAAGAGCAAGATTTTACTTTCTTTAAATAACGACGAATATCCTGTATGGTCATAATGCAAACATGTGACAGGGGAGTAAATCCTGCATGGTCATAATGTCACGTATATGCAAACATGTGACAGGGGAGTACATCCTGTATGGTCATAATGTCACGTATATGCAAACATGTGACAGGGGAATACATCCTTTATGGTCATAATGTCATGTATATGCAAACATGTGACAGGGGAATACATCCTGTATGGTCATTATGTCATGTATATGCAAATATGTGACAGGGGAATACATCCTGTATGGTCATAATGTCATGTATATGCAAATATGTGACAGGGGAATACATCCTGTATGGTCATAATGTCATGTATATGCAAACATGTGACAGGGGAATACATCCTGTATGGTCATAATGTCATGTATATGCAAGCATGTGACAGGGGAATACATCCTGTATGGTCATAATGTCATGTATATGCAAACATGTGACAGGGGAATACATCCTGTATGGTCATAATGTCATGTATATGCGAGCATGTGACAGGGGAATACATCCTGTATGGTCATAATGTCATGTATATGCAAACATGTGACAGGGGACAGGGGTCTATAGTCCAGTAGATGGGCAACAGGAGTTAGCTGTGTTGATAAGTTGTCCTCAGTCCAGCAGATGGGCAACAGGAGTTAGCTGTGTTGATAAGTGGTCTACAATCCAGTAGATGGGCAGCCAGAGTTAGCTGTTTTGATAATTTGTCTACAGTCCAGCACATGGGCAGCCAGAGTTAGCTGTGTTGATAAGTTGTCTACAGTCCAGTAGATGGGCAACAGGAGTTAGCTGTGTTGATAAGTTCTCTACAGTCCAGCAGATGGGCAACAGGAGTAAGCTGTGTTGATAAGTAGTCTACAGTCCAGTAAATGGGCAGCCAGAGCTAGCTGTGTTGATAAGTTGTCTACAGTCCAGCAGATGGGCAACAGGAGTTAGCTGTGTTGATAAGTTCTCTACAATCCAGTAGATGGGCAGCCAGAGTTAGCTGTGTTGATAAGTTGTCTACAGTCTAGTAGATGGGCAGCCAGAGTTAGCTGTGTTGATAAGTGGTCTACAGTCCAGTAAATGGGCAGCCAGAGCTAGCTGTGTTGATAAGTTGTCTACAGTCCAGCAGATGGGCAACAGAAGTTAGCTGTGTTGATAAGTGGTCTACAATCCAGTAGCTGGGCAGCCAGAGTTAGCTGTTTTGATAATTTGTCTACAGTCCAGCACATGGGCAGCCAGAGTTAGCTGTGTTGAGAAGTTGTCTACAGTCCAGTAGATGGGCAACAGGAGTTAGCTGTGTTGATAAGTGGTCTACAGTCCAGTAAATGGGCAACAGGAGTTAGCTGTGTTGATAAGTTCTCTACAATCCAGTAGATGGGCAGCCAGAGTTAGCTGTGTTGATAAGTTGTCTACAGTCTAGTAGATGGGCAGCCAGAGTTAGCTGTGTTGATAAGTGGTCTACAGTCCAGTAAATGGGCAGCCAGAGCTAGCTGTGTTGATAAGTTGTCTACAGTCCAGCACATGGGCAACAGAAGTTAGCTGTGTTGATAAGTTGTCTACAATCCAGTAAATGGGCAGCCAGAGTTAGCTGTGTTGATAAGTGGTCTACAGTCCAGTAGATGGGCAGCCAGAGTTAGCTGTGTTGATAAGTTGTCTACAGTCCAGTAGATGGGCAGCCAGAGTTAGCTGTGTTGATAAGTTGTCTACAGTCCAGCAGATGGGCAACAGGAGTTAGCTGTGTTGATAAGTGGTCTACAGTCCAGTTAATGGGCAGCCAGAGTTAGCTGTGTTGATAAGTGGTCTACAGTCCAGTAGATGGGCAGCCAGAGCTAGCTGTGTTGATAAGTGGTCTACAGTCCAGTAGATGGGCAGCCAGAGTTAGCTGTGTTGATAAGTGGTCTACAGTCCAGTAGATGGGCAGCCAGAGCTAGCTGTGTTGATAAGTAGTCTACAGTCCAGCAGATGGGCAGCCAGAGTTAGCTGTGTTGATAAGTTGTCTACAGTCCAGTAGATGGGCAGCCAGAGTTGTCTACAGTCCAGCAGATGGGCAACAGGAGTTAGCTGTGTTGATAAGTAGTCTACAGTCCAGTAGATGGGCACCCAGAGTGAGCTGTGTTGATAAGTGGTCTACAGTACAGTAGATGGGCAGCCAGAGTTAGCTGTGTTGATAAGTTGTCTACAGTCCAGTAGATGGGCACCCAGAGTTAGCTGTGTTGATAAGTTGTCTACAGTCCAGCAGATGGGCAGCCAGAGTTAGCTGTGTTGATAAGTGGTCTACAGTCCAGTTAATGGGCAGCCAGAGTTAGCTGTGTTGATAAGTGGTCTACAGTCCAGTAGATGGGCAACAGGAGTTAGCTGTGTTGATAAGTTGTCTACAGTCCAGCAGATGGGCAGCCAGAGTTAGCTGTGTTGATAAGTTGTCTACAGTCCAGTAGATGGGCAGCCAGAGTTGTCTACAGTCCAGCAGATGGGCAACAGGAGTTAGCTGTGTTGATAAGTAGTCTACAGTCCAGTAGATGGGCACCCAGAGTGAGCTGTGTTGATAAGTTGTCTACGAAACAGTAGATGGGCAGCCAAAGTTAGCTGTGTTGATAAGTTTTCTACAGTCCAGTAGATGGGCACCCAGAGTTAGCTGTGTTGATAAGTTGTCTACAGTCCAGTAGATGGGCAGCCAGAGTTAGCTGTGTTGATAAGTTGTCTACAGTCCAGCAGATGGGCAGCCAGAGTTAGCTGTGTTGATAAGTTGTCTACAGTCCAGTAGATGGTCAGCCAGAGTTAGCTGTGTTGATAAGTTGTCTACAGTCCAGTAGATGGTCAGCCAGAGTTAGCTGTGTTGATAAGTTGTCTACAGTCCAGCAGATGGGCAACAGGAGTTAGCTGTGTTGATAAGTTCTCTACAGTCCAGCAGATGGGCAGCCAGAGCTAGCTGTGTTGATAACGAGTCTACAGTCCAGCAGATGGGCAAAAGGAGTTAGCTGGGTTAATAAGTTGTCTACAGTCCAGTAGATGGGCAGCCAGAGTGAGCTGTGTTGATAAGTTGTCTACAGTCCAGTAGATGGGCACCCAGAGTGAGCTGTGTTGATAAGTGGTCTACAGTACAGTAGATGGGCAGCCAGAGCTAGCTGTGTTGATAATTTGTCTACAGTCCAGTAGATGGGCAGCCAGAGTTAGCTGTGTTGATAAGTTGTCTACAGTCAAGCAGATAGGCAGCTAGAGCTAGCTGTGTTGATAATTTGTCTACAGTCCAGTAGATGGGCACCCAGAGTGAGCTGTGTTGATAAGTTGTCTACAGTCCAGCAGATGGGCAGCCAGAGTTGTCTACAGTCCAGCAGATGGGCAACAGGAGTTAGCTGTGTTGATAAGTTGTCTACAGTCCAGTAGATGGGCAACAGGAGTTAGCTGTGTTGATAAGTAGTCTACAGTCCAGCAGATGGGCAACAGGAGTTAGCTGTGTTGATAAGTAGTCTACAGTCCAGCAGATGGGCAACAGGAGTTAGCTGGGTTAATAAGATGTCTACAGTCCAGTAGATGGGCAGCCAGAGTGAGCTGTGTTGATAAGTTGTCTACAGTCCAGTAGATGGGCAACAGGAGTTAGCTGTGTTGAAAAGTGGTCTACAGTCCAGTAGATGGGCAACAGGAATTAGCTGTGTTGATAATTTGTCTACAGTCCAGCAGATGGGCAGCCAGAGTTGTCTACAGTCCAGCAGATGAGCAACAGGAGTTAGCTGTGTTGATAATTTGTCTACAGTCCAGCAGATGGGCAGCCAGAGTTAGCTGTGTTGATAAGTAGTCTACAGTCCAGTAGATGGGCAGCCAGAGTTAGCTGTGTTGATAAGTTGTCTACAGTCCAGTAGATGGGCAGCCAGAGTTAGCTGTGTTGATAAGTAGTCTACAGTCCAGTAGATTGGCAGCCAGAGCTACCTGTGTTGATAAGTTGTCTACAGTCCAGTAGATGGGCAGCCAGAGTTAGCTGTGTTGATAAGTGGTCTACAGTCCAGTAAATGGGCAGCCAGAGCTAGCTGTGTTGATAAGTTGTCTACAGTCCAGCAGATGGGCAACAGGAGTTAGCTGTGTTGATAAGTTGTCTACAATCCAGTAGATGGGCAGCCAGAGTTAGCTGTGTTGATAAGTGGTCTACAGTCCAGTAAATGGGCAGCCAGAGTTACCTGTGTTGATAATTTGTCTACAGTCCAGCACATGGGCAACAGGAATTCGCTGTGTTGATAAGTGGTCTACAGTCCAGTAAATGGGCAGCCAGAGCTAGCAGTGTTGATAAGTTGTCTACAGTCCAGCAGATGGGCAACAGGAGTTAGCTGTGTTGATAAGTTGTCTACAGTCTAGTAGATGGGCAGCCAGAGTTAGCTGTGTTGATAAGTTGTCTACAGTCCAGTAGATGGGCAGCCAGAGTTAGCTGTGTTGATAAGTTGTCTACAATCCAGTAGAT